TTTCAAATATATAAAAACATTTCCAGTAGGTTCCACACAGAATTTTGGAAAGCTAAGCTGGACTCGGAGCAGGTCTGCTGCTCCCCAAGGCACTACCCTTCGAAGGAAGGTTTCCACCACCTGGCTGCAAAACGGAAAGGAGAAGGCCTGTTTCCAAAAGGTCTCCACACCCCTTTGGGCGGAAAACAGCCGCCGTTCATTCCTGCGCTCACATCCAGAGAGGAAGCCTAGATTCAGGCGACAAGAACAGAATATGGGCTTCTCATACCACACACATATATTTCCTATTTCTCTGGAATGGTGCTGTGTCATTACTATGCACAAAATCAGATTCTTCAAGAAAAGTGTTTTTTAGGCCGAGCACGGCGGCTCACGCCTGTAATCCCAGCACTTTGGGAGGCCGTGGCAGGTGGATCATGAGGTCAGTAGTTCGAGACCAGCCTGGCCAACATGGTGAAACCCCGTCTCTACTAAAAACACAAAAATTAGCCGGGCGTGGTGGCGCATGCCTGTAATCCCAGCTACTCAGAAGGCTGAGGCAGATGAATCACTTGAACCTGGGAGGCAGAGGTTGCAGTGAGCCGAGATTGCACCACTGCACTCCAGCCTGGGTGACAGGGCGAGACTCCGTCTCCAAACAAACAAAAAGAAATGTTTTTAAATACTGGTGTAATTACCCCAAAAAAGGCCTAAGGAGGCCTGCAGTCTGCCTCATGCATGCCACATTTAGTCTTAACAGCTTCACCAGCCCTCGGCCCTGTTTGCCACAGAAAAGCTGAAACCGCAGGTTTCTGGGTCAATTTACACTATCCAATCCCTGACCTGCCCTCTTCCTGAGACAGCCAACCAGAGGCCTCCGAGGCCCTGCCAAGGGAACTCTGACGGGAAGAGCATCTCTGCGGCCGGCGCGCAACACAAAACAGCTAAGCAAGCCCAACTTGTGTCCTCAGTCTGAAGTCACATCCTGAAAAGCCTGGTCGCACCAGAAATGAAACACACATGGTTTCCCAATGCTTCCTGTTCTGAGTCTCCAGTGAGGACAAGATCGCCAGAAGGTTCTGTCTCCCTCTCTCAGTAACAGTGAGAAGAGAAACAGGCAACTGGATATTGGGCAGGATCTTGGCTCCAGCCTCGGGTTGGTTCACGGAGCTTCTGTCTTCACCACGGAGGCCTCTGCCGATTCGCAGGGCAGGGCCACAGCTGACCGGCTCCACCACGACTGCTCCACGGCCGCGGCCGCCCAGAAGGCCCTGAGGAACTGCTCTTTGGTGATTTCAGGAGGTTCTTTCCCTGCACATTTGCACAGATTCAGGATAAAACCCAACACATCGGAGCCAGACAGTATTCTTGTTGGGACATGTGAAGGGGCCACTGGCCTCGGGGTGGGACACTGGTCCTAGAGAGACCCACCTGCCCCTCTTGGACAAGCCCAACCCAGGTCCCAGAATTCTGTTCCACCTCCCTGGTTCCCAGTCACCCCCAGGACTGACAGAGGGTAGAAGGCGTCCTATCTCCAGGACATGTGGTATCCACTAGATCTCAGGAGTTCAGAAGTAGTCATCATTTTATAAACCTCAGAGTGCTAGAAGATTTCTTAGGACATATCAGGCAACATGGTACATGCACGGAACCCCAAAGGAGCATCTCTCAGAATCTTCCTAAAGTACAAGCAACGCAAATGATCACTGAGATGGACAATTTCAAATCTGAACCCAGCATCTGGAATGCAATTTTCCACCTGAAATTGGCATATCATCTGCACTGACTGCAGCCTGGAAGGCATCTACCCGTTGAGCATCGGAACATCCCAGGTTCCTCCTGAGAACGTCACCCACCTTTAAGGGTTCTGACAAAGTAGCTGAAGAGCTCTCGATACGAGTCCTGGTAGCGGCTAGCCTGGGTCTGGGAGCCGAGGGACAGGGACGTGCCCCGCCCGGTGATGCCCAAGGGATTCTGATTCTCCATCTGCAGTGTGCCTTGGGACCCACGCACCTGGGAGCCATGGCAAGACAGGAGTTAACCAGGCCGAGCACGGGAAGTGGGGAGGGGAAGGGGATGACTGAACACCACCAGGGCTTTTGCTGGTGGGGGTGGGGCGGGCAGGTGACACATGACACAGGCCTTCCAGGACCGTCATTATCACTTCCCATGGCACACCGTGACCAACACCGGCTTTCCATGTAACGGCCAAGGAAGCACAGGCTTCTGCAGAGCAACAGCCAATGTAAAGGAAAGCCACCGTCACAAAACAGCTCCTGGAGGCCCAGAGGCCAGAGAACGAACTCTCTTCAAAACCGGAAGATGTGGCTCTCACCAGAAAACTAAAACGAATATTTACTGAGCACTGACTGTGCACAAGGTGTGCTGCATGTGCTCCGACTGGGGATGGCCAGGTGATGACCTCTATTTAACCAGCAGGATCAACCCGGCTGATGACCTCTATCTAACCTGCACAATCAACCCAGCTGAGGGTGGCCAGGTGACGACCTCTCTCTAACCCGCACAATCAACCCAGCTGAGGGTGGCCAGGTGACGACCCCTATCTAACCCGCACAATCAACCCAGCTGAGGGTGGCCAGGTGACAACCCCTATCTAACCCGCACAATCAACCCAGCTGAGGGTGGCCGGGTGACGACCCCT